GTGAGACAATACCAGAATAGTGGCAAATTTCACTGGATTGGGATTAAGGTGATATTCAAGGTAGAAAAATGTCAGTCAAGGTGTAAACTGGATTTGTTTTAATGCACCAGTTTAAATCACTCTGGAGAGCGGTTGTGTCAAATTCGTCGCGGAATGATGTACTTTTGCAGTTTTTGATTGCAAAAGTGCACTTTGCTGTCCCGTTGCTACAGGATAATGTTTGCTACTGAGAGGGATGAACTCAATCATTGTATGCAGTTATCTACGAACCCTGGTGACCTAATTCGATCATCTTCTAATGGCAATTGCAATAAAACAAATGTAAACGGACAGCTTCTTTCTACCGTTATACCTGAGTCGTCTACGCAGCAGACTGCTGAATGCCCAAAGGCAGTGTGTTCTAAAGGCAAGATTTTTTTCTTTACCATATTTTTTGGTAGACAAACTACCGGGTACTGCAGCTGAATCATGTTCTCTCAATGCTGAACCCAGCTCTGGATTTATGTTAATCAGCGTTAAGCATCTTTCTAAAGTCAAGCGAATAAACCGTACCAGGTCTGCGTCTTCACTTTCTGCTCGCTTGGTGAGCGAGCGGCATACTTTAATGGAGAGAAACAATATAGAGTCTTTATCAAGGGACGATAGTAGCCATACGACTTCCAGTCCGATGTGCGAGGAAGAGGGTCTTGATGATTTTCATGGATCAGGATCTATCGAGGCGGAAGAATTTGAAGATGATGAAGTTGATGAACCTGAGGGTGCAACTGAAGATGACAGTACGACCATTGTGGTTAGTTCTACCGGAAAGTTACCCAACAAAGCCACTGGTTCGCAGCTTGTGGGTTCTTTAAACAGTCCTCAACTAAGAAATATAACCAGAGTGAGTTCGCATTTTGAAGGTTGTGCGTTTTCCATTACACTTCGTGCCTTGATCGATAATTGCCTAAATATGAAGTTTTTAATTCACGATGAGGACATAGGTGCTAGTGGTGTTTTGAACATTGCAATTCGCTTCGTAGTGGTCAGAATATCTATCAAACGGATTTCTTCATACTCTAATGAAAAACGGTTTTCAGTACATTTAGTTGTTCTGGTATATTATCCTGCAATATGCATTACGCGAAAGTTTGAGTGATTCATTCGCTGTTGATCTCATTTTGTTGTATTCACTAAACAATGAAGACAATCTGGTTTTCGCATCACGGATACATACAATTATTTTTATATTCTTAAGTCTATTTTCTAGTTGAAGCAAGTGCTATCTGTTCCTCATGAGTTTCATTCACACTCACTTGGCTCTAGTCGAGTGTAGCATAATCTTGAAAGCCTCCACACTCCGCAGGTAAACGATTTCAGTTGGAAGCATGTTCCGACTGTCGATAAACCAATCGTTAAATTACTGCTTGCTTACATTTATTCTGCGCTTGTTCCATTCCTATGTTGAGCTTCAATGAGCAGACTTGTCGCTCTTATCCCCGATAGTTCTCAAGATGTTTAGGGTTTATCTAAGGTCCCCTAAGTCTACTCTCTAATAATAATGATCTCAGGCCTTGAATTCTTATCTACTGTACCTGTTTGATATTCTGCCATCTTGGTGGTCAGTCTCTGTATCTGGTGACGTCTTTGTTCCTTAAAGGTCAACAAGTCTGAATTCCGAATATAGTCTGATTGTTGCCTTGTACAAGAGATACTTCAAGTTTCCTATATGGACCGATTTCAGTGTGAACAACCCCCTCTACTTGTAGACACTGCTATTGTGCACTGGTCAGCCCAGTTGCAGTTGGTGGTCACCGATTGTACCAACTCATCAGCTTATTTTGTGGGTTCTATGATTAAATGTTGAACCTTCATTTTTCATTACCCCATTACCCATGTTGTCCACCTGGGTTTTCCCTCTAGATACTACTACCCTCTTCTTCTGTTCACTCAGAGTTCTTAGTCGACTGCTTCCAGCTTGAGACATTTTTGGCGCCACCGCAATATTCGGTTGTCAATGAAGGGTAATGTGGATTCTGCAATCGTCCGATCTTTTTTCCTGTGCGATACGGAGACATAGCTATTATAGAATCAGGATAGACTACTCATCAGTGTTCGAAAACCGCTATGTACGCTGCATCCCTCGAGTTTAGGGAGGAAATCAGACCAGCGGCGAGATTAGGTAAAGAATTTCAGGTAATTGAGGTCGCACAATGGAGCAGTTGTTTGATCTTCATACAATCGAATGACTAGCCTGTTTCACGCACGTCGTTGCTTCAGCGTGTGATATTTGTCGAGGCGGATGATAATTGGAAGAGAGTCAAAGGTGGTCAAAATAAGACCTGACTAGGGCATATGAAAACCCAGGGTCACTGATATCGAACAGCTTAAAAACTGAAGTCAATGGGCTCATTACAAGGTTTTTCAGCCGGCCTAAATAGGTCTTTAAGAAACCCAACAAACAGTAAGACCTCTATCTTTCCCTCTGTATAAATGTAATGGGAGCAGTATAACCAAAACGGAACAATTCAAACGGTAGCAGGTTCAGTTTGAGCATTAAGGGACACTATTTTTCTTTCAAGTCTGTAAAACTTCAGGTGATTCGCTTCCAAATGAGTGTAAATCGGCTTCACGTGTGAATCCACGAGGGATCTTGGAGAATAGTATAGAAAGACATCCTCTGTACTGCGTCACTTTTCTTCGAGAGTGCGCCCCTAGCCCTCGCTAGGGGCAAACAAGTATTAGCGATAACCTTATTCAGTGGCGAGTCAGATGCGCGTACGTCATGATGCCTTCTATGGACATCGGAGAATTTTCCTCCAGTCATCCCCACACTACTTATTACACTGCATATATACTTGCTTGCAATTGGTTCAATTTGTTCATTTGTCAATATAGTGATTAAATGTTCTGTTCTCGTTTACCGTGTTCCCGTGTTGCGTTCAAGAGGAAGAATAATAAGCGAGGTTTGGGAAACTTGTAGTTGAGTACAGATAGCATAATTCACTTAGTGGGAGTATTGGATAGTTCCATGGACACTGATGGTACATTTATCGTTCCCTAAAGTCTTAGGCATCCATTTTGGAAAACTGAATCATTCTTATCAAGTGGGGTTTGATATTCTTCATCCAATCTCTATTGTACATTCTCTTGTTGAGTAATTACGTCTCCATAAATAATCGAAGATGTTTTACATTTCCACCAATTTGTGATTTGACTGCTTTTAATTTACCAGAAATAAATTTTCATTAGCTAACACTGCGCTCTACTTGGTGATTTGTGCACAGAGGTTAAATATCAGGTTCATTGTCTGTTTTTGACTTCCTATTGCTGCTGATGCAAATTATTTACATCCATTGTTGCAGCTCAGTCATCCGTATAGTACTGTATAGATATTAGTGTCTAGCCTGTGCAGGTTTCTTCAAGATGGTTATCTGGATTCAACTAAATGTTTTGGTCTAGGCAGTTTCTTTGTGGCAATCCGTAATACACTTGAGTTATATTCTATTCAATTCTTTTTACATATCTTAGTATGATGAACAGCAGATGGGGAAACCCCTTTGGTCACGAGGACCCGCTGTTCAGAACATACACCTAAGGTATTGGGGCTGTTTCCTGGATTTTCTCACGCTGAGTTTTTGTAGCTATGTTGAACCCATGTACTGCATATTTTATTTCTGTCAGTCAGTCTTCCAGGTTTATTTGTAGCACTCAATCAAATCTACTTGTTTTCAGGGTAAATTTACTCCCATGTTGTCTGTTTTCATTGGTTTTTGT